AGGAGAAGGGAGAGGAGGGAGAAAGGAAGAAAAGATGGAAAAAGAAAGAAAAGATGGAAAGAAAAAAGAAAAAGTTGCCTGCTAAATTAAATTCCTCAGCTTCCCAACTGAAGGTAGGTTTGTTTTCATTTCACTTTCATAACTAGAGGTGCAAGGTGCCTGCTCTGTCTAAATGGTGCCTTGGGAATCTGAGTTAAATCAGGCCTGTGAGTAGGAGCACAGGATAAACCACTGGCAAATTTGGGATTGCACCATGGTCTCTTTGGTCTCTGATGGACCCAGTCCAAACTTAAGCAGTCAGCCACTCTGAAAGAGACTAAAGTGAGAAAGTTTCCTCTTGGAAGGGGGGTGTGAGGTGGGCTTTCTAGATCATTCACTTTCTCTGGTTCTAACCCTTATCCTCTGGCTATAGCCTAGACTCCCTGTGGCAAGTTCAGCATGTGGAGAACACACAGTATAAAAATAAAGTTCAACAGGGAGTACCAAAGTTATAAACACAACACGGCAAAAACAGCTCATGTCACAGGCATGAAGACACGAGGCAAGACAGAAGAACCTCTACAGGATCAAAGACTCCTGACACTCCCATTTTACAATTACTTGGTGAAGGCTCAGTGAGGTGAAATGACTACCTAACAGGTACAAAGCACCATGACAAATTCAAATAAGCTTCTGAATTCCACAAGAGCTCTAGGGCTCGTTACAAAGAACAGCCCAAAATACAAATCAAGTCTTCTCTCCTACTAAAGTCTAAAGAAGGTTAAGGACTGAGAGAAACATGTCAGGAAAATAAGTTTTCAGCATGATGCCCCAATAATAAATGTGCTGTCCCCACAAGAGGAACAAGAATGTTAAGATAAGAATGCAAGGATGTTTGCACTAGAGGCAGCTGACAACCACGGAGACTAGGACAGTTCCCATGAGGTGCTGTCTGGTTTGGGGGCCATGGCACGTCATTCGTGGTGCTACTTCTACCCTTGCTCTACAAAATGCCTCCCAAGGGGATCCCACCTCAAAGGCTGGTCTCACACAAAACACACTTGATGAGACATGGGGGCGCAAGGCTCTGTAAGCACACCCACTGCTCGTACCCAATGTTCTGTTTTCATGTTTTATCCTTTAATCTGTCAGAGGCCGGCTGAGTTCCTACCTTGGGGTTTCTTCCTGTTCTGCACAAACTCTGAGCGTCTCAGGGTGCTGGGAGCTGTTCGGCGGAAGCAGCTATTCCTTCTCCAAGTTTCTGGGCCAGTTAACCTTCTGTCCTCTCCTAAATGCCAAGTGTTCTCTAATGCAGGGCCCCGAGGAATCCCAAAGTGATGTTCTTGCTCTCCCCTAGTACACTGATTCTCTACCCCTTCTGGAATGGTTCCGTTGCCTCTAGGTGCCCTGATTACGGGTGTGTCAACGTCATGATACTCCAAATCTTCCCCTTGAGGGACAGAATCGACTTGTCTGAAATTATGAGATTCACACTCATAGTTTGCAAAGAAAGTATCACAGCCTTTATTTTCTGAGTCAAAGTTAGCCAGATCCATGGTGTAAGTCTTTGCTTTGGGGTAGATTTTGTCATTCTGGTAAACCTTCCCATCTTCTTCATAGTATTTAACAAATTCTTTACCTTTGTTGATACCATTCAAATCTGGAAGCTCCACAGACTGACCCTTAGAATAACTCCCAGGAACATGATAGAAATTACTGTGATCTCTATAACCTAAGTTAATTTCTTTACAATCATCAAGACTATAATTAAAATTCCTGAGGCTCATATACCAATTTTGAGGTTCATATAAATTCCCCAAAGAATCATCCAAACTCCTGTAGCTATTCCTCTGTGTGGTTTTTTGTAAATCCTCAGGATTATAAATCAGATCCTTGTAATCTACACAGCCATTCACCTGCCCATATTCCCCAGCTTTCTGGACCACATCTGAGCTTCCTGCAAGCAGAGGATCCTCTGACCCAGGCCTGGGATTCCCACAGTCTACATCTCCACTCCTATAACCATCACAGCCTTCGGGAAACAGACAGCTCTCCCCACTTTCGTTGGCTTCCCCACAGTCCAAATAGCTTGGTTCACTCTGCTCAAAATCCCAGTATCCACAGTGTCTTTTTCTGTAGGGCCGATTTCGCCACTGGGCCAGGTATGTGGAGTCCAAGCCATTTTCTGTGTGGAGTCCATCCAGCACAGTAACGTTCCTTTTCCGGAGGCTCCTGCAGTCTTCGTTCTCCAAGCTGAAGCCCTGAGGTGCTTTCTCCTCAGCTTCTCTTTCCTTTCCAGTCTCACCGATTTCACTCATATTCAACATAGCTACGGGTTTTACTTCTCTTTTCCATGGGCTTGGGTTGGGCTGAAAAGCAGACAGGTGTAGTCTAGCCTAAGGCTGGATCTGTCCTGCTTAAAATGTCTCCCACAGCACTGGAGACTCTTCCTGCTGCTCTGGTTGGAGTGCAGAGCAATGTGGAGTCACTCCAACTTCAGGATCCAATCAGTGAGCTACTATAGCTTTCTCCTGGGAGTCCAGGAGATAATTAGTAACCAGAGTTCATGTGATTGGTGTTGGCAACCTTGTTGGTGTTTCCCTTGAGCTGGTCAGACTGGCTTGGCTGCTTTGTGCACTGAAAGTAGAGGCATTCTGATGCCCTCAAGGTTCTGTAGGGAAAAAAAAGCTGTGTGAAAGAGAAAGAGCACTCTTTCAAAGCCCCAGGTCAGGTCTGCCAACTTACCATCAGTGAGCCACAGGGGTGAAAATGTGCTGGAATGTGCAGCTCCAAGTGGCCCTCCACTCCCTGTCTTTCAAGTAGCCTTTCTTATCCTTGGACCTCTGAAATTTTTTGCTGAGAAGCACAATCCTCCCTGCCCTCCTGTGGGATTCCAGTGACCAGGCAGTACACACTCAGGCCAACAGCTGCTCAAGTTCCACAGCTTCCACTGCTGTGCATAGTTCCATTGTGTGAATGCTCTTGTCTAGGGAACAATTATGCTAGATGTTCTTAGATACCTGTTATGCCAGAAAGCATTAAAACCATTCATTTCCTAAACTCTTTTCTAGCCAATTCACACACCATATTTAAGAAGTAAAGAATGAGGCAGAAAAGTGTCGATTTGAGATCAGCAAGCTTCAGCTAGCCAGCTACTCACTGTAAAGAAAAACGCACATGGCAAGTGGTATGTAACAAACACAGGTGACAATCACAACAAAGTCCCTCATGTGATGAGTGGAGGTTTCATGGAAATGCTGGCATTTGGATGGTGCTACCTTCAAGGATGAACCAAAGCTGGGCGTAGTCCACCAGTACACCTTTAGTCCCAGCACTCAGGAGGCAGCGCAGGCAGATCTCTGTAAGTTCAAGGGCAACCTAGTCTACATAGCAACTTCCAGGCCAGCGAGAGCTATATAGCCCCCCCCCACCCCCACCCCCCCGTCAAAAAAAGGTTGAGGCATATTCCCATTAACTTTTTCAGTTGTTAGTTCTTTAAGGGAGAACTAAACAAAGGGATGCAGTATGGCAGTGAGAATATGTAAAAAGGGACAAGGCTGAAGGATGACCTGAATGCATTTGTTTTATTCTGGGCGTGATGAAGAGTCTCTAAAGGTTTTGGATTGGGGAGTAACACACTAAAGACAGGCCTCAATTGAATCCCTCTTCCAGCTGCCTGGTCGCTTATTAGATACCCAAGAATAATTCTTTAATCTGACCCTGATTTTTAGAATGGTATAAAGAACTCTGAGCCCAGGGTGATAGGCTTTGACCATAAACAGGTGTTTACCCTACTACTTTTTTTTTCAGGGGAGAGTGCGAACACAGTCCTCCACTACCACAAACTATGCAGTTGAGTTTCCCACATTTGGGGAAATCTCAGGGGTCAGTACATTCAGAAAGCAATGGATAAGCCTTGCCCTGGGAAAACCACCTTCGAGATCATGGTGTCTCCCCTGCCAGGTAAGCATTCCCCTCCTACTTATAAACGGAACATTCTCTCCAGGACTCACTGGCCCATCTATAGGGTAAGGCAGGTGGCCCTGGTGACTTCTCTCAGTCTTCTAGCTTTAATAATCCTTGATTCTCTTTTTCCCTCACAACTCCTTAGATGGGCTCTTGTGTACTGTTTGTTTGCTGGTTGGTTGCTTGCTTGCAGGAAAGCACTCTATCACTGAGCTGTAACTCCAGCTCCCTCTGTTTTGAGAAATTATGTCACTAAGGTACCCAGGCTGGCCTTGAATTCACTCTATAGTGCAGGCAGACTTTGAACTTGTAATCCTCCTGCCTCAACCTCTACAGCAGCTGAGTTTACAGGCCTATGCCACCATGCCTGGATTCTGTTCATCTTTGGGATCCTCTTTAGATTGTCAAGCCTTCTGGTGTCCTCTTGGCAGCAGCCATAGCCCCAGTGGCTCCGGTCCCAGTGGTACGTGTTATGACTGGTGCTAGGAAGTCAAGAAAATCTTCCTTTTTGATCTTCACTATCCTTCAAGGAAGGTGTGCAATTAGTCTTCTTTCTACCACAGATAAAGAAATAATCCAGTTGGGTGTGGTGAGGAATGCCTGTAATTCCATCACTGGGAAGATCAGGTCAAGGTCATCCTTGGCTAAATAGCAAGTTCAGGCCAATCTGAGTTCCATGAGACTGGAGTCCGAATAACTTGTCTAGGATCACATAAGCTGTTACATAGTATGGCCATCATTTGAATCCAGATCTGTTTGACTAGTCTAGACTAAAAACACAGTAATACCTTAACTTCCCTCCAACCAAATAAACAAAAAAAATAATTCTATCATGGTATAATTTAGAAGTGGACCTCTTACGGAGGCAAGGACACAACCCCACCTACACTATCAATTCCTCTGTCTCCAGTCATAGCTTACCTCCCAGTATAGGGAAGTTCCTTACTCACAGCACACAAGCACATAGGCCCACACAGACTGAGTCAGTATCTATAGACTGTGATTTGGTTCATCAAACAAATAGGCAACATCATTTGGGAGGACAGCTTTGCCATGAGAAACAACAGAACAACAGCAAAATCTAGAGAGCACTCAGCAGACAATGAAAGGGGACATTAGCTTCTAGAAGTTTAATTTGCTAGTGATCAGTGTGAACTAAGCTTAATTTCTCTGTTATTTCCTCATATGTGAAAGGAGGAAGTAAATGCTTTTAATTACCTAAAATATATTTTATTTTAATTTTATGTGTATGAATGTTTTGCCTGTAGGTATACATGTGTACCACATGCATGCAGTACCCAGGGAGGAGAGAAGAGGGTGTCAGATCCCCTAGACTAGAGTTAGGATGCTTGTAAGCTGTCATTCTGGTGCTGGGAACTAAACCTTGTCCTCAAGAGCAGCCAGTGCTCCTAATGCATCTCTCCAGTGCTGTTTCTCTGCTACTTTAAGTCCAAAATTCTATGATCTTGCTTATTTCTAACTCAATTGAAAATAAAGATTAATCTTTCCTAGCTGGCACAGTGGTGCCCACCTGTTATCCCAGCAGGTAATAGAGACAGGGGGATGTTGGGGACCTCTGTTATGCAAAGTGGAAGTCCCTTCACGACCGGACAGCTCATGCAGCTCGGGATCATGTGCTGAGGGCTCCTTTCATAGCAGGGTGCCTTCCTGGCATCTTTCCTGACTCTCCTTTTGAAGTGCCCGCCACAAATGCCATAACATAAACATGGCCTCAGGCTTTAGGAATACCATGCCTCCTGTGTGATATTTCCAGGCAGACAGCAGTCTGGCAGAAACCCACTTCCATATGTAAATAGAATGCCTCACAAAGCATCTAACAGCCAAAGCTTTTACCAATACCCCCATGGTATAAGTATCCTAGTTTTCTCTTAATAGAGAGAGAGCTGGGTCGCAGAGCTGCTGAATTGCTGAGAGCAGAGACACTTAATAAAGCTGTAACACAGACTAAGCCGAGTCTTGAGTCTTGTGCCTTACTACCGGCGACCTAGCCTCTCCGGGTGGCGCACTCCCCCGTGACCAACTTACGGACATCCTAGCTTTCGCTGTCCTCGTACTCTTCCCGTGGGGTTCAGTGGCCAGTGGACCTCGCATCCTGAGGTGAAATAGGGACAGGTGAAATAGGGACGGGTGAAATAGGGACAGGATTCGGCTGGACAATGCTCCAGTAGCAGAGAGGCTGTCAGCACCAGAGATGCACGGACAGAGACATGGGACCCGAGCCTGCGGGAAAAGCCGCGGCCAGAGCCGTGTGGCGGGGATCCCGAGATACCCGCGCACACCACGCCTGGGGCCCAGAGCACTCCCTGATACCCGCACACACCACGCCTGGGGCCCAGAGCACTCCCTATAGGGGGATATCAAGCTAAAGACTAATTTGGGCTACATAATTGAGATCCGATTTTAAAGATTTATTATTTATGTGTATGCATATCCGTGTCTGCATATGCCACATGTGTGTAGGTACTAGAGGAGGCCACAATGGATGTTAAGATTCCCTGGAACTGGAATTACAGGTGGTTGTGAGCTGTTTAACATGATGCCAGGAACCAAACTTGGGTCCTCTGAAAGAGCAGCCAAGTGCTCTTAATTACTGAGTCATCTCTCCAGTCCTGAGATCCTATTTTAAAAAAAGCATGGGAGCGAACAAGAACCATAAAGATTCTTGTTAGTAAGCCTGATGACCTGAGTCCAATCCCTGGAACCAACTACTGCAAATTATCTCTGACTTCCAAAGGTATGCCATGGCACCCCCCGACACACACAAGTAAATAAATAAATGTAATACATTGCCTTTTTTTAACTTAAAATAAAAAGCTGGTGAGATGGCTTAGTAGGTAAAGGCACTTGCCACCAAGCCTGATGACCTGAGTCCAATCCCCAGAATTCACATGGTGGAAGGAGAGAATCAACTACTGTAAGTTGTCCTTGTCCTCTGACCTCCACACACAGTAGCGTGTGGCCATGCATGCATGCACGCATGCACGCGCTCAAGCACACGTGCTCACACACACACAGATGTAAAAGACTAATCTTTACTGTTTTGGAAAACAGAGTTCTCTTTAGCAACTATATACCTTTCATAAAGCTATCTCGATAAGAAAAACACACCTAGTAAGTCAGCCAGAGAAGAGATAAAAGAGAACTAAATTACAGGTACATAGACATGAAGAACTGG